TTCAGATCCCGCACAAAAAACTGTGCGAGGCCCGGGCCCAAGCCCGGGCCGCGGGCTTCAGGCCCGGCTTCCAGGGCTCGGGCTCGGGCTTGGGATATCTGAAGCCCAAGCCCGCTCAAGCCAGGCCCAAGCCCGGGCTTCCAGGCCAAGCCGGGCCCGTAACATCACTAGTGACTCGTGAGAGATTTTGCGTCTGACCTCCCAGCATTCAAAGCTGAAACCTCCGAGCTAATCTACTTAGCCTCAGGTTCGAGAACGAGACATTCACAAGCCCCAGGTAGACTCAAGAAGCACGCCAGGTTGAGTCTATGTTTGTGAGTTTCATTAATTATTTTGACCGAATAGCCGGTGACGCCGCACCCGGTGAGGTCGGAGTGGCCCCGGGTCTCGCGCTGTGCAACGATGCGACACCACTATGGCCGCTGGGTCGAATGCCCTGCGACGCCGCACCCGGTGAGGTGTGAATGGCCCCGGGTTTCGTGCCAAGAGGCCGATGTGGGCGCTGGGTGGAACTTCAATACCCAGTGACACCGCGCCCGGTGAGGTCTGAATGGCCCAGGTTTCGTGCCATTAAAGGATGATACGCCACCACACGCCTGAGCGCTGGTCGAATCCCCAGTGACACTGCGCCCGGCGAAGGCTGAAGGGCCCCGGGCACCCTGCATTCATGCAAGTGTTGTTCAATGACGGGACACCGCTGCGGGTGCTGGGTCAAATACCCAGTGACACCATAACCGGGGAGGTCAGGGTTTTCTGCTTAAAGGCGGGCGTTATCCAATGAAGGTGATGCGACAAGCACCGGGAAACCTCTTAACGCCACACAAGACAAAAGGCAGTCCACGCGTTTCAGGCTCTGGCCATCGCGAAGGAAAGCTCCGTTCTCGAGTCATGCACCAGCAGGGAGTCGAACCCCGGCCTCCCCATTGAGATTTTAATTCCGCAGACCTAAGGAGTAGAGGGCATGCACTGCGCACCACCGGTGCTTGTACTCTGGATGCCGGGATCAAACGACTGTCTTTGATCTCACGCAAGAGGTACTGGTTCGAGTCTATGCACGGGGGGCCAGTCAGGTGGTGTCCGTTAGCGCTCGGCCTACAGGACCGGGCTCAGCAATCAAGTAACGAGAGCAAGGGGGGGAAATAATCATAATGCCCTCACCCAATGTCAGCCCGGTAGAGGGGGGAATCCAAAAAGAACTTGAAAGCAAATCCGACGACCCCGCGCAGCACCAGTGCTTGAACCCTCCTCAAGACTCTTCGTAATGAGAATTAATCGACCACCGAGAGACGATTCTCCCGCTCTCCAGATCTGACAAGCCCTCGAAATGACGCAGAACTTAGAAACTCCAGCAAAAAAAAGGGTCACTATTCCACCCATACGCACCGGCGGGGAGTCGAACCCCGGCCGCCCAAGAAGGCCTTACGTACATCCCTCGAATAGCTCCTGGGTGTGTGCCGTACACCACCGGTGCTTGTATCACTGGGGATGTTGTGTGCTATGCGATGCGATTTTCGCTGGACCCCGTCCTGCCTACATTCCCCGCGGGGAATTATATACATACAGAGCGCAGTTTTACAGCTGACCGAGGCAAACAACGATCGATCTTGCAGATCCAAATGTGCTGCCACAATTGAAGGGCACCCCATGAGCTGCAGTGAAGGAACACCGGAAAGGAAGGGAGAACCCGAGTTTCGAACGCCCCGCACTGGCGGGGAGTCGAGCTCCCGCTTCCCACGACAGGCCCTAAACGCTTTCTACACATGTCGAGGGTGTGCCGTGCACCACCTGTGCTCACATCGCTGTAAGTATTGTCTCCAAAATTCAGAAGGGTACTTGCTCACCTGTACTTCCTCGCGCTTCCTCCGGGTGATTACCGGGCCGCGTCCACTCGAACAATCCTGCAAATGGCGAGAGATGGGCGTATGATTTGATGTGTTAGGCTTGCGTAGGAGAGAGAAAAACTTCCCCCTTCTATGCATGCACCGACGGGGAGTCGAACCCCGGCTTCCCCACGCTTACTCGCCGTCCTTTTGGAATAACAGGTATGGGGTGTGCGCCGTGCACCACCGGTGCTGGTACCCTGCAAAGTGGTGCTCGGAGTACGAGCTGGAGCTGCACCAGAACGAGCGGCGACAGCGTGAATTGCCGGACGGGCGGATCACCAGATACGTGGGGGCACCAGCAACCCGGAGCGAGATCGTCCCTGCTCCGTTCGGTTGCTGCACACCCCGATGCGCGCGGAAGGCTGAAGCAGTCGCAGAGGAGGAAAAAGGACCCCACATTCGTCGTTTAATGTGCACCGGCGGGGAGTCGAACCCCGCTTCCCACCCTTACTCGCTTTCCTCTCGGAATAACAAGTATGGGGCGTGCCCCGTGCACCACCGGTGCTCATACGCTGGTAGGTAGAAACTGGATGATATGCGAGAAGGAGCGCCCGGAATCGACGGACGGGCGGGGAGGGGAGCGAATTCCAGCGAGCCCAAGGGCGACGATTCCGGCGGGCCGCAGAGAGAAGAGCGAGAACTAGAGGCGCACGAACGCACGAACCATCCCCAACCTTGGGGGCAAAAAAAAGAAGGAGCAGTGTATTCGTGATCAACACCGAGTTATAGATGCGTAGCCTGGGCCGTGGCATCCATGCGTGCGTCCGTACACTGAGTGTGTCGATGTGGTTCTGCAATGCAGGACCCTAAATGAAGTAAAGAAAAAAAGAATTGGGAACTGTATATGCACCGACGGGGAGTCGAACCCCGGCTTCCCACGAATATCATTCTCCGCTCAAGCAAGACGGATGGGGCGTGCGCCGCGCACCACCGGTGCTCTTCCTTACTGTGTAGGAACCGAATGATCTGGGAGCGCGAAAGCTTGGGCGGGCGGGCGGCCGAGGGGAGAAGGGGAGGGGAGAAGATTCGATTGAGTGAGGCCGATCTGGTGGAGAAGTAGTAAATAAGCACGCTGAAGCAAGTGGGAGTAGGATGAAGCGCGAGGGCGAGCGGCGAGCGTGTGCACGGGGACTTCTGAGACTGAGCGCGAGGAAGCAGGTGCATTGGATACACAGAGTGATAAAATACGTAGCGTAGCCCGTGCGTGCGTCCATTCGTGCGTAGTCCGTGCCCATCTTTTTCTCCGCCTCGCACTCCTCAGCTCCCGAAGCGCGCGCTCAGAGCATCAGCCCGAGCGCGAGCCCCGCGAGCCCTAGCACTGCCCCGGGCGCCGTGCGCGCTGACGCCCCATTGGAAGGGCTCGCGCTCGGGCTAGTGGACGCCCCCGTCTGCGTGGGCGTCGTCGTCTTGGACGCGGGTTTCGTCGAGGCTGCTGGTGTAGATGCAGGTGTCGAAGCGGATGTCGAAGCGGGGGCAGACGAAGCTTCAGGAGTAGTGGACGTGGCGTCGTCCGTAGAGGAGACATCGTCAGTCGAAGAAGGCGTGGAGTCGTCCGTGGAGGATGGAGCGGAGTCAGGCGCAGTCGAGGTGGCGCCGTCGTCGGTGGAGGGAGCGTCCGTCCTGCACGGATTGTGGGCGTTAGCCGCGGGAGAGCGATGACACGAGGAACTCACGTTGCGCTCGGATCCTGCGCCACGCCCGGTGGGCACTGCGACGAACCCGAGGAGAACGAGCCGTCCTGCGCACGTTTATGTAAGTATCCACACAAGCACAGAGAGCAAGAAGACGCACCGCAGGGAAATACGTGCACTCCCCAGCTCCCCCGTCATACTCGCAGCTGACAAAGTCGCCCGAGGGCGCGGAGCCGCTGAGGGGCACGCCGTCGTCGTCAGCGGGCGCGCACTGGACGCTTTGCCGCCTGCCGGGAAGCGCGCTGGCGCTCAGAGCCGAGAGGAGCAGCATGGAGAAGAGGGCGGTGGGGCGCATCGTGGCAGGCGTGGGCGCTGCTGGTGTGAAGCTTGGGCGAAAGTTCGTGAAGCACGAAGCAAGAACTTGAAGGAAGAAGAAGGACGAAGAAAAAACGCAGGCGTCCGAGCGCGGTTAAGTAAGTCGAAATCGAGGCGGAGATTGACCGGAGATCAGACAGCTAAGCGATGCGGAGGCTGTGCGGATTTGCGCCAAGAGCCACGTGGGTAACTGCCTTTTCGGGCACTTCATTTCATCTCGGTGAAACAGAAACGTCAGACTTGCGCCAGACGGTCTGCCATTCTGCCATGCCATGCCATGGGTGGCGGCGGCTGAAACACCTGCACGATGGCACGATGACTCCGCGGGTCTCTATTCGTGACGATGCCGTCTTCCTAGAGTCTGGACGGACGCTCGAGCCTCTCGGCAACCTCTCGGTACTGATCCTCCGATGCACAAATAGCGGGACTCCCACAAAACACCTTCACACGCTGCCGGCGCCGGCGCTGCTCCACCTCCTGAGGCTCCTAGGTATTGCTGGACCTCTCGAATCAATGCACGCGGAAGACCGCACCAGCTCCCTCGCTCGCCCGTGCGCACGCACGCCTACCTCTGACTCCCTGCCAATCGCGAGCGCTCCGCGCCCTGTGCCGCATCGCTACGGCGCGCCAGTTCAATTGCGCTCGCTCTTGGCTCGCTCAGGAAAGAATCGGTGGGCTGTCTTCTCTCATCTCCTGCGGAACACTGCGGCCAGCGCAACCGTTGCCTCGCACGAGTACTAGTATTCACGGCGCTCTCATCCTGTGGGGCATCGCGAACCGCACAGAGCGGGGCATGTGCGCCGGTGGTGTACGGTACACGCCCCATACTCATACTGGTCCCCAGAACAATCTGGTGGGGAGCCCGGGGTCGACTCCCCGTCGGTGCATTCCATTGCCGCCACCGCCTTTTTTCTGCATCGCTGCCACCGCCTTTGTTCTGCATGTATTTCTTGTCCTGCCGTGGTGGTGAGTGGGTTTCGAGCTCCGTTGGCATCGGGTCTGCGCTGACAACCAGACACTCAGAGGAGGATATCGAATCGCGGGGAGTGAGGAAGGCCGACCCGATACTCAATTCTCTCGTGGATTACCGTCAGCGCATAGGATGCTACGAGCGCCGGTGGTGTACGGTACACACCCCATAATCATAATCTTTACAGATCTTTAATGGGGAACCCGGGGTTCGACTCCCCGCCGGTGCATGCATCCCCACGGACAATTCCTTTTTTCCTTTTTCTTTCTCATTTACCGTCGTGGCGAGCGACGTCCTTTTGCATCGGCTCTGCGCCGACAACCAGACACTCTGCCGAGCATGTGGCCTCCCCGGCGAGAGTTAACTTTTAGGTCGGCCCGCACGCCGCTCGATTCTCTCGTGGATTACGCTGAGCACACAGTGGGGTATGGGCACCGGTGGTGTACGGTACACACCCCGTATTCTTAAGGGGAATCCCATGATTTGATCAGGAGCCCGGGGTTCGACTCCCCGCCGGTGCATGAATCTTCACTGATAACTCTTTTTTTATTTTTTATTTCTCGTTTGCCGTCGTGCCGAGCGACATCCTTTGGCATCGGCTCTGCGCTAACAACCAGACACTCTGCAGAGCATTTGGGTCCCCGACGAGAGCTCACTGTTAAGTAGGCCCGCATGACGCTCGATTCTCTCGTGGATTGCGGTCAGCACATAGTAGGGTATGTGCGCCGGTGGTGTACGGTACACACCCCGTATTCTTAAGGGGAATCCCATGATTTGATCGGGAGCCCGGGGTTCGACTCCCCGCCGGTGCATGAATCTTCACTGATAACTCTTTTTTTATTTTTTATTTCTCGTTTGCGGTCGTGCGGAGCGACGTCTCTTGGAATCAGGTCTGCGCTGGCACCCATACACTCTGCAGAGCATTTGGTTCCCCCGGCGAGAGTTAACTTTTAGGTCGGCCCGCACGCCGCTCGAGTCTCTCGTGGATTATGCTGAGCACATAGTAGGGTATGGGCACCGGTGGTGTACGGTACACACCCTGTACTCTTAAGAAGTCCATATCATTGATGGGGCGCCCGGGGTTCGACTCCCCGCCGGGGCATGTTGAGGCCATATTTTTATTTTCTTGCTCCTTGTGGCGTCCTTTTCACGGGGCTGCAACTGCGTCCTGCCTTGGAGATCGGACACTCCGAGGACCACCACTAATTGGGAGGCCAGGGTTCGACTACCCGCCGGCGCATGAGTCCCTCTACCACTCGTTTTTTTCTCCTTTTTCCGCATGTCTTGCCGCGTTATGTGCGATTCTATTCATCTGGGAGCACTGAGGGAAAATTAGGTGTGCGATTACAGCTGATCCCCGCCCAATTGTCTCTTAGAATTCCTGTTGCGCTGTAACAGGAATGCGCGCCGGTGGTGTACAGTACACACCCCATAAATTTGATAATCGTCCGAGAGCTTTGATGGGAAGCCCGGGGTTCGACTCCCCGCCGGTGCATATGACATCCTCCTAACGCTGTCTTTTTTTCCTACCGTCTGACAATTTATTATTACTATTAGAGCCCGTTTCAGTGCGCGAGGAATCGATGTCTCTGCTCCGCAGCCATCCCTCCTCGATGCTCAGCTCAGCGCTCCCCTCATTATGCGTATTATATCGTGTCATTCGCGCTCGAACCTACATGGTGCCTTCTTCGATCTAGGCCCGCGCGGCGCATGACTAGATCTGAAGCAATATCACCGGCAAGAAATCCGCTGCCTGCTCTGCATCTCTACTCTCTCGCACAAGCTGCGGCCTGGTTCCACCCGCAGTGCACGCGAGCAAGACGCGGTCCACGGAGTATTTCAACCAGATGCAACGAGGGTTTCACAGCTCTTAATCCCCCGCTTCCACACGGATATGAGCGCCGGTGGTGTACGGCACACATCCCATACTCATGCGGTTTTTGTGAAAAAGTGATGGGAAGGCTGGGGTTCGACTCCCCGCCGGTGCATGAGCTCGCTTGATCGGTCTTTTTCCCATTCTTTCTGTCCTGTTTCGCCGTCTTTGTGAGGGGTGTTCTGTTGGCGAGGCGTCCGACTGCGCGTGAGTTAGCATCCGAGTACTCATAACGATGATGTTGATCCACCTCTCCAATTTGTCCAAGGGAAGTTTAGGACTCAGATCTTATTGCGTAATTTAGACGTCCTGCATACGAGGGTATGCTCAGCGGCGGTCCACGGTGGACATCCAAGCCGATTATATTTGTATGCGAGTGATTGTGGGGCGACCGGGGTTCGACCACTTGTGCACTTTGCGCCTCCGATCAAATTCCTGAATATGGGAATTATAGGAATTTGTGGGAAACGTTGCACTGCTGGAAGAGCACGTATATACTGTAATAATATGTCCAAGGCAATCTGTGAACGGTAGTGCCCTTCAATAAACCTTCATCTTGCAAGTGCAGGCAAGCCGCATGCGGCACTTCCACGGAGGAAATTAGAGAACCATAAGTTCCGCGTAGCATCCGGTGGTTCAGGGCACACGCCCCACACCTCTGTGTAATGATAGTAGGGAGCAAGGGGTTGGATTCCCCGCCGGTGCATTTCACGGTCATGACATTTTTTTTATTCCGTATTTTTGCCTCGTGGTGAGGAGGGTTCCTTTGGCATCGTCTCCGAGTACATGGAGCCTAAAGCATAATCATAATCGCATGAAAATAAATAAATGATATCCATCACAGCACCTCGTTAATTGCTCGCAACCGATGCCATCATAGTGGGAGCCTGAGGTCCGACTCCCCGTCGCCCAATTATGGTGAGAATCTTCTGCATGACCTAGGGGAAGCTCGGGCTCGACTTTCCGCCCGGTGCCTGAGGCAGGCGGCGAATGTTTTAGGTGACATTTGCAAGAGGCAGTTAATGAATGTTTACTCAGGAATGACCCAAATGCGACACGGAACATGAATATTGATGAGAACTGGGTGTTGAATGCATTGGGGACTGTAACACTCCCCGGAATGTGAGGCGGGTAAATATTGTGCTCTTCATTGGCTGAGTCGAGGTGCCTAGATCCAACCTGCATCACAATAATCCTATCATATAATAAAATCGAAGAGATACAGAACATTCCATAGGGTTCCATTCGTACACAGTCACACCTCATCAACATTCGGCAAGCCACCCACCGGATCGACTCGGCCCCTCTGTGATTCAAACTTTGATTCAAACTGCAGTCAAACTGTCAACCAACCGTCAACTAGCGAAAATGAAGAAGGGTGTCGGGAAATGTCTATGGTGTTCAATAGCCATACAGGCATCTGCTTGTAATTGTTTCAAATCTCCGTGGCCCCGTGTTGAACTCAAATCTAATGAAGCCAATAAAATAGCATTCCAGGCGCGTGACAGTGGAAGATTCGGAAAGACACTAGCTGTAACGACCCTCGAGTGTGGATTACAAATATTTATTGGGATGCACGTTGTATGACCCTGGCAAGTACTCGGGAGTTATTATGGTGGTTTGAGACTTGGATAAGCCTCCAAAACTCCAAGACAGCTTTTGAACTTAAATCAAGTGCAGATGTAAAGCGGATGAGAGTGGATAAGAGAATTACTGCTGGCAGATAGCATAAGCCAGAGTGACTTCAATTGCGCATAGCACTGGTCGCAGTTTGCTGGGAACCCACACACTTAAGAGCACCTGCAGACCTAGTACACTGCTGCTGGCTAGACAATGGATGATAGGCCGTAGGGTGGTGAAGGTATGAAGGATGCATGCATTGATCTTGACATGTGGTCATAAGGACAGGATTACATAAGGGTCATGTGGTTATACACGTCGAGAGAAAAGAGAAAAATAGAGGTAAATAGGAGTTAGTTGAAGAGTAACTGAAAAAGGAAATATAATGGTATATGGCCCCTACACTAAAAGAACCAGTCGTGACCGTTCCCCGTGCAGGTCGATGTGGGAAAATAATCAGGTGTGTGGCAGCTCACTCAAGCGGACAGATGCATTCAGCTACAATTAAGGTGATTAGTGCAGCGAGAATGCGAAGGAGCGTCAGACTAGGGACATTTAAGTATTCGGATGTGGAGGGAACAAGAATAAACCCTAAATATGGGCGAACTTGAATGCGACTGAGACATGTTACATGCATGAATGGGAAAGGATGTAAATGTAAGTGATTGGAATGAGGATTCATAATTGTGTTGTTTGAACTGGCTTACAGGTACACACATCCCGTGAATTTATTCACGGGTATCTGCTAGTATTATATAATTGATGTCCAGAATCGAGTGTCACTGGCGTACAATATTGTACTCATTAAATTCATGCATCGGCTGGACCGGTGTCTGTGGGCGATTTAATATTCCTCTGACATGCGGCTGAGCGGAGGTGCATAGGCTGTCCTAATATTTGTCTAGTGGTGGGTCGAACAGAGCTGGTCAAGAGACATGATATTCTGTCCAGTCAATTTATGGTTGGGCCAAACAGAGGTACGTAAGATGGTTAATATTATTCCCATCATGTGCCTTGGGGTGCATCAAGAGTGTCTTGGGAAATAATATTATTGAACAGGTCAGCCGAATACAGAGCCTTGAGCTCATGAATATTATATCTGGCCCATCTGTCTCACTCTGGGGCCTGTCTATGATGAGCTGCAACCCAGCCTCTAGTCCAAATAATACTGAAACCGGCCCATGAAAATATTATCATGTCCCTAGAGACCAGGTCTCGGCCGAGAATCCGGCGGATTTCGGAAGGCCGCAGACTCTAGGTATTATTCATACGCAAGGGGCCTAGACGTTAGGGCATTGTTGACTGCGTATCGTGTTCATTTTCCGACCGTCCGCATTCAGCGGCCAGCGTGCGTAACATCCTTTATCCATTGGCCGCTATTCTCATCTATTTCATACCGCACCGGCATTCACTTTCTGGGTCCACTTGTCGCGGGAAAGGCTACAAGAGCTGTTGAGGAAACGGCGCTTCCAGGGCGGTAAAGAGAAGTGAATACTGTTGCCGTCGCTGATCTGAGACGGCTGTTGCAACACAATTCAATGATACTTATCAACGGATCGCGTATAAACGGGCGCTTGCGGTGTCATTTGACAGTTCTATCGGTCAACGATTGGGGAGGGAGGCGCTTGCATGGTGACGAAGTGCAGTGAATGCCGCCTGCCTTTCTGTCTCCAAGCTGTTCGCTATATAATTCGATGATAATTATCAACGACTCGCGTGTAAACGGGCGCTTGCGGTCAGACCATTCTATTGATCAACGATCGGTGAGGGAACGGCGCTTGCACGGTTACGAAGAGCAGTGAATGCCGCCGGCATTGTTGTTCTCCAAGCTGTTCACTATATAATTCAATGATACTTAACAACGACTCGTGTATAAACGGGCGCCTGCGGCGTCGCTGGACAGTTCGATCGACCATATATAAGTATGAGGCCCTCTCAAATCCGGCCTCAATCGTCCATCCCTCTCGAATGTCCCAAGAGATCTCCGAAACTACGGTGGGCGCAACTTATGGTGGCATGCCTACCCTACTAAATAGAAACAGCACTGTGTTCCAGATGAGTCCCACAAGATTGTGCCAGGAGACTTGGACTCCAGCATAAATGGCGGGCCCATAGCTTCCCCTCCAGATCGGTATCAAACTTCATGGGATGACATTGAGCTGCAGGAAAAACAACAAGCTCTACAACGAATGCCAATGGGACATCCTGACAGGCCTAGACACTTTCAACAACGCGCCGATTCCCTCCGAGCACGATATCTCGCCTCGGGAGACATCACATACATGGCGGCATCAATACAGAGCATCCAAGAAGCGTTGAATCTTACCCCAGAAGACCATCCGGATAGGCTTTCAGGTCTAGAAAAACTCACTGCGGTTCTCACAGATAGATACCAGCGGGAGGGAGATCTCAAGGACCTCACGACTGCACTGAAAATAACAGAGGAAATGTCGGACCTGTTTCCAGGAGGGTATCCCAAAACGGCAAGGCTCCTGCAACAGCATGGAGTTTTGTTGACATCTCGATATAGAGCATTGAACGACCTCGCAGATCTCGAGGCTGCACTACAAAAAATGAAGGCAGCTTTGGATCTCATGCCCCACGGGAGTCCTGATCGGGATCTGAGCTTGCAATACTATTCATTTGCTGGAATGTGGTAGCCAGTCCTTGTTCCACGATCTCTACGGCAGTGCGGAGATTGGAGATATTGAGGCAAGTTCTGACTGCCGCGGAAGTAGCTTGTCCAATATCCAATCTGCGAAGGATATCCTGACGCACAGGTACGGAGTGACCAATCCAGAGGAGCTCAGGGAGTAGATTGAGTGCAGATCTATGTGCTAGAAGGCAGTCTTCTGGCTGAAATTGTGTTGCAAACTTGACCCAGTCAAGGGCTCGGTGCCAGGAGATATCCGGGGATGATGTAAGGATGTTGAAAGAGGCACTATAGTGAGTGTGGACGGCATGGAGGGCCTCTGATTTTCCCGAATGTCGATATTGATATGCAAAACAACCGGCAAGATCTTGCAGACGTTCTGCTCGGTCAGGGTGCCCACTGGGGGTTATTTCGAGCAATTCTTGAAATTTATCCAATGCCATGTCAAGGACATTCAAATCCTGAGACTTTTTGTACAGATCGAGAAGACAAGAAGCAAGACAGTGTACAGACCACGCTCTATCGATGTGGTCTACAGAGGTCAGTCTCACAACTTCTTGGTGTTTCTCTACTGCAAGCTTCAGATCATTCACATCCCCCAGCTCCTCATATCGATGTGTGAGGGCTGTAGCAAGGCCTGGCAGATATGTTGCCTTCATGGAATGTCCGTCCGGGGTGAGGTTTACTGCTTCTGTGTTTGCCTGCAACACAGCCTCCAAGTTTGACACCTCTCCTAACCTGAGGTATCCGTCTCGAAGGGACACCGCAAGATTGTGCAGATACTGAGCTCTATTGGGATGTCCCTCTGGGGCAAGGTCGACAGCTTCTTGCTGTTGCTGGACAGCAGTCTCGAGGTCATTGATGTCCCCCAACCTTCTGTATCGAGCGTTCATACATCCGGCCAGTGTTTCCAGACGTCGGGCCCTATCAGGATGTCCTCCGGGACTGAGTTCCACTGCTTCCTGGATGCTATCAAGCGCCATGTCCAAGTCCTTCAGGTCTCCTTTTGCATGATATCGGTCTCGCAAGAATAAGACAGATCTTGATGGGTTGCCTCCGAGTCAAGCCGAGGAGTTCCGACAGCTTTCATCCCAGCTTTACAGTGGAACAGCTTCTGATTTGGGCAGTCTTGCGAATGACAGGAATGAACTACTAAAGGTCATTCGAAATTAGCCAGGTTTTGAATACTTTCTACGTCCAAAACCTTACAGCACTCTTTCCGTCAGCGGGTGCGCACTGGATGCTTTGCCGCCTGCCGGGCAGCGCGCTGGCGCTCAGAGCCGAGAGGAGCAGCATGGAGATGAGGGCAGTGGGGCGCATTGTAGCGGTCGTGGACGTTGCTGGTCGTTGCGTGTGAAGCTTGTGTGAAGCTCAGGCGAACGTTCGCGAAGCACGAAGCAAGAACTTGAAGGAAGAAGAAGGGAGAACAGAAACGCAGGCGTCCGGGCGCCGTTAAGTATCGAAATCGAGGCGGAGATTGGGCGGAGATCAGTCAAGATGAGAACAAAAGACGCTAAGCGATGCGGAGGCGGTGCGGATTTGCGCCAAGAGCCACGTGGGTGACTGCCTTTTCGGAGGGCCTGGCCAAGGCCCTCCAAGGCCTGGCGCACTTCATTTCATCTCGGTGAAACAGAAACGTCAGACTTGCGTCAGACGGTGTGCCATGCCATGCCATGCGTGGCGGGTGGATGGCGGGTGAAACACCTGCGCGATGGCACGATGACTCTGTGGGCCTCGACTCGATTCGTGACGATGCCATCTTCCAGGACGGACACTCGAGCCTCTCGGTACGTATACTGCTCCTCCAATGCGCAAATGGCGAGACTCCCACAAAACACCCTTTCGCACGCTGACGGCGGCGCGCTGCTCCATCTGTCCGAGCCCTAGATATTGCTGCACCTCTCGAATCTTTGTGTGCATCAGCTGCTACCTCGCTCGCTCGCATGCACGCTTACGTCCAACCCACTGGCAATCGCAAGCGATCCGCTCCCTGTTGCGCATCGCTGGAGCGTGCCGGCTCAATTGCGCTCCCTCAGGGAAGAATCTCTGGGATGTCTTCGCTAATCTCCTGCGGACCGCTGCGGCCAGCGCAACCTTTCCCTCGCACGAGTACTAGTATTCACGGCGCTCTCAATCTGTGGGGCATCACGAACCGCACAGAGCAGGGCATGTGCGCCGGTGGTGTACGGTACACGCCCCATACTCATGCCTTACCCCCAGACGAATCTGGTGGGGAGCCCGGGGTTCGACTCCCCGCCGGTGCATTCCATTGCCGCCACCGCCTTTTTTCTGCATTTATTTCTTGTTCTGCCGGGGTAGTGAGTGGGTGTCGAGCTCCGTTGGCATCGGGTCTGCACTGGCCGTCGGACGCTCAGAGGAGGATATGATATATCACTCTAAAATATTTCAACTACGAATCGCGGGCAGTGAGGAAGGCCGGCCCGATGCTCAAATGTCTCGTGGATTACCGTCAGCGCATAGGATGCTACGAGTGCCGGTGGTGTACGGCACACACTCCATAATTCTTCCAATGCCCAACCCTTCTTTGATGGGGAGTCCGGGGTTCGACTCCCCGCCGGTCCATCAACCTGTCTGATAAATCTTTTTTTATTTATTTAATTTCTTCCCCTCCATCGTGCCGAGCGACGTCCTTTGGTATCGGGTCTGCGCTGACAACCAGATACTCTGCAGAGCATTTGGTTCCCCGGCGAGAGCTCACTTTTAGGTCGGCCCGCACGCCGCTCAATTCTCTCGTGGATCACGGTCAGCGCATAGTAGGGTATGGGCACCGGTGGTGTACGGTACACACCCCGTATTCTTAAAGGGGAATCCCACGATTTGATCGGGAGCCCGGGGTTCGACTCCCCGCCGGTGCATATTGAGGCCATGTAATTTTTTCCTTCCCCCTTGTGGCGTCCTTTCCGCAAGGGTGCACCTGCGTCCTGCCTCGGCGATCGGACACTCCGAAGACCACCACTAATTGGGAGGCCGGGGTTCGGCTACCCGCCGGCGCACGAGTCCCTCTGCCACTCGTTTTTTCTCCTTTTTCCGCATGTCTTGCCGCGTTATGTTCGATTCCATTCGGCTGACTGGGGAACAATTAGGTGCGCGATTACATCTGATCCCCGCCCAATTGTCTCTTAGAATTTCTGTTGCGCTGTACCAGGAATGCGCGCCGGCGGTGTACGGTACACCCCATAAAATTTACAGTCGTCCGCAAACGTTGATGGGAAGCCCGGGGTTCGACTCCCCGCCGGTGCCTGGCCCGTGGTGTTCCCATGTTTTCTCCTTGATGTTTGTTTTAATGAAAGCCCGTTGGAGTGCACACTACGCTCCTTCTGCGCGTCTCTTGCGCTCGATCCTGCTTTCGGCCACGGTCGGAAAACCAGTATGTCCAAATGTAGTCTCCACCTCGGGAACTTGGATGGATATCTTACGAGAGAAAGTCGCGACATTCGGGATTTTTACATGAACTCGGACAGACAATAGTTCCACAGCTTTCGGCGGGCGTTCCTCGTGCGTGGGATATTTTTGTTGAATTTGCTTGGGAATTGCGGAGAAGAAGTGGAACTTCAGAAGCTTATTGCGTAAACCCACAGCCCAAGACTCCACCTTTATGCCTCGCACACTGTATCAAAGCCGAAGCTGAAACATACAGCCCACTAACCCTCGCATACATCTTGCTCCCTAATTTCGCCAAGCCCATGTTGCTGTGCAGCACAGGCGTTCCACCTACATCACCATGGTGATGGAAACCTCTCTCCAGATCCTCGTTTAATGATGATGACGGCGACTGGAAGAGGAAGATACCGATCCACGCCAAGCTCGTGCCGCAACCACGTCACTGAAGTTTTGGCCCAAATATAATGACTCAACTTGGTTTGCCTGCGGACTGATGCCAAGGGATTCCCAATAATATTACAGGTGTGTATTCCTAGTCCTAGTCCTGAAAGTCATGAAGCGTCGTTCCACGCGACGCACGCCAGCGCCGGGTGGATATTCATTCACTCGTAATCATCAAATTTGCGACATCTGCGAAATAAATTCAGAGCTCAGCGTCGAAGTGCAGGGAGCGGACCTACCCTTGGCCCTGTCTCCGTCTGAGGAGAGGATGTCGGTCGGAGCTCACGCTCGGCCTGGAGGGGAGCCCGTCTGCACCGATCGGGGCGGCTCTAGCCCGTCTGCTGGGGACTGGCCTGTCCGGGACTAGCCTGTCGGGGACTAGGTGTAGGATTTCTGAACGTGGATTGAGCATGGCAGAAGGACATTGGAAGTGTAATTCCTACGAACCCGTTCTACCGCCAACTTCAATAAGTGCGAGTCAGTCCTGAGGCGGACGGAGGGACGATGATACGCACCAGGTGTTGGGACCCAAAAAAAGCCTGCGAGTACCCTTTTCGCGGCAGACCCTAACGAAGAGAAAAGGTTCAACTTCATTCGGGAAGGTGTAAGGGTCGGAGAGCTGGGAGGTGAGAACTGTGCCGCTGTGGCCCTCTTGACTCTTTACGCATTGAATGCGGATCACACTGTGGGACCGCGGTATGTACCTGGTCTTCGCTCCTCTGCCAGAAATATCCCCCCGGGTTACCATCAATGTAGTAGCCAAGTGGTAGCCAGTGCGAATGCAGTGATCACTGTATTTGGTGGTGCCGCACGTTCCCCGTACGGCAGACGCCGAGCATCCCGCTAATATCCGGAGGGTCGTGTTCCGTGACGAGAGTAAAATCATCTATGCCGTCCCCATATAGTTATATTTCAATGCAAGAATACGGCACTGATCTTCACGGGCCATGGTATAAATCGTGGCGCTGCGAAGGCCATATGGCGGCCGCCAGCGATTCTGGTATTCCGCCATGCAGTTTCTAAGGCACGCCAGACTTTCCCACGGAAACCCATAAGCATTTCGTTAGCTATTCAGGACGACATTTGTCCAAAGGCTGGATCACGCAATACACACTGTATGCTGAAGTTCAGAGTCGCGAATGGAATAATTCAAATTGTAGCTGAGCGAGTGTATCGTTGGATACAGGACTTCAATGCACCCAGGCTTCCATGAAATTTCGGTGGTTTTCCGTTCGCCTCTGCCGTGATTCCAGGGTCGTAAGGGATGACGTGATTGCGCGCCATCATGTGGAAAGGATTCTTCATTCCATATATAGTTCAGAGGCCCGGCGGTTAGGGCTTAGGAAGTTTCACGAAGGGGTTCTATCTTGCGGCACGCGTATTTGGAAGGCCGGTCCGGATTGAATTCAATGACCGACAATATCAGAAGTACGCCAGGGAAATGCTATCATGCCTATTACAACGCGCAAGAACCAAAAACACGCCCGCCGCAAACAGTATAACATAAATCCCGGGTGCAATCCGTCTTGAATCTCGTCGCATGCGAAGGTCTATAGGTCAAACGTGTGTTTCAGGGGATTCGGTCCAACGGAAACAGGGTCCACTCACGATTCCAGTCAAGTTATATCGGCTGCAACAGTTACTGTCGGTATTTGAACTGCAAATGTTAAGCTGGATCTTACTCCCCTGATTTCCTTGCAGAAAATCGGTAGTAATGACACTGTTGCAGTCAAGCTTCTCAGTGGTATCGCGGTCCTGCTGAAACCTCGGAGAAAGGTATTTTCAAGTCGGAGTCTCCCCCTTCCTGCTCCGGTGCATTTGAGGCAGGAATATCCTTCTCCCGGCCTGCTCTCAGTATCTGTCCCTGGTACTTAGTTCCTGATGTGTTCATGCTGAACCTTGGCCGCCGAATGCAGACCCTTAACGTGTTTTAGGTGCTTCCTTATCAACATCGATCCATCTTGTAATCGATGGCTCCATGGGAAGCACTGGTGCATTGGTCTACCAACCTCGGGTCAAATAAAACCTTGTGGGGTCCAACGAATTTTCCTACTATTGGAGGCAATAGGTTGATCTCTCGGAATTCGCCGGCTGCCGCCTTCGTTGGGTTAGGGTTAGCTATTTGGTCCTGTTCCGCATCGCCCCCATCGCCCCATCCTTTTTTTTCTTCCACCATGACATCACACCCCATAAATTTGATAGTCGTCCGAGAACATTGATAGGAAGCCCGGGGTTCGAGTCGAACCCCGGACTCGCCGGTGCATAAGACATCCTCCTCACGCTGTTATTTCTCCTACCATCTGACAATTTATTATTATTATTAGAGCCCGTTGCCGTGCGCGAGCAATCAATGTCTCTGCTCCGCAGCCATCTCTCCTCGATGCTCAGCTCATTTCATTGCTCGACGTTACTCTCCTCTCCTCGTACATGTCGTGTCACTCACGCTCGAACCTACGTGGTGCCTTCTTCGATCTAGGCCCGCGCGGCGCATCACTAAATCTGAAGTAATGTCACCGGCAAGAGATCCGCTGCCTGTTCCGCATCTCCAATCTCCCGCACAACGCTGCGGTCTGGTTCCACCCGTAATGCATAGGAGGAAGAATCGGTCCACGGACCATTTCACGCAGATGCAACGAGGGTTTCACAACTCTTCATCCCTCGCTTCCAGACAGGTATGTATGCGCTCCGGTGGTGTACGGTACATGCCCATGACCATAGGAATTCGACCACGGCTTGTGAGGAGGCCCGGGTTCGACCCCCCACCGGTGCCTGGCCCGTGGTGTTCCCCTGTTTTCTTCCTGATGTTTGTTTTAATGAAAGCCCGTTGGAGTGCGCACGACGCTCCTTCTGCGCGTCTCTCGCGCTCGATCCTGCCTTCGGCCACGGTGCCTTATTCAAAGTTCGAGCTGGCGGACCGCGGAATGCATGTTGCGGCCTAGACTTCATTCGCCATGCCCACCTAGCTTTCCCTGGCGTGCGCACCCACTACGCATATTCCCGCCCGGAGTCACATAATATTTGCGGAGGACCGCCGTGGGTTGCACACCAACTGGCGCCTCTGGTTGATGAGGCACACGGTGGGCATCGTCTTCCCGTCCGTCGCTCGTGATCTGCGCCGTCAACCCATTTTTTCGGTGTGTTTCTTTACAGGGCACGTGGGTTAACGTTCTTTCTACTAACGAGTATTCGGAGGCCTCTCAGTTCTTCTTTCCTCCCAATGGAAGCCCTGCGTGAGGGATATGCGCCCCGGTGGTGGATGGTACGCTCTCCTACTCATATCTCCAGAACACCCGTAGTTCAATGGGGGAGTTCGGGGTTCGACCCGCGATTCATTCGAGTCGAATCGCCTGTATTGACGAAAAAACAAACAAGACTGGCAGTTGTCATCGCAGCCTGCACGCAGGTGTTTGATTTTATGCGG